TGAAAAAATTGCATAAATGTGCCCCCCCCCCCAAAAAAAAAAACCTGTCACCAGCTGCCTCCTATAGATGGAAAAGGCATCTTCCTGTGATGTTAAGTCCCCGGCAGGAATGACACAGCCTTTCAGATTCCCTGGCCTCAAGCCGTGCAGAGCTTTAAAAGTCAAAACGAATTATTATTTATTCATTTTCTTTTTAAGAACATAAGAACATAAGAGATGCCAATGTTGGATCAGGCCAGTGGCCCATCCAGTCCAACACTCTGTATCACACAGTGGCCAGAAATACCAGGTGCCATCAGGAGGACCACCAGTGGGGCCAGGACATTAGAAGCCCTCCCACTGTTGACCCCCCCAAGCACCAAGAAGACACTTTATTGCAGTCACACACTGTCTCGACATTTTCAGTGAGTTATCTACTACAACTCCAAGATCTCTCTCTTGATCAGTCTCTGCCAGTTCAGACCCCATCAATGTGTATTTATATTTAGGATTTTTGGCTCCAATGTGCATCACCTTGCACTTGGCCACATTGAACCCCATTTGCCATGTTGACGCCCACTCGCCCATCCTTGACAGATCCCCTTGGAGTGCTTCACAATCCTCACTGGTTTTCACCACCCTGAACAACTTCGTATCATCTGCAAATTTAGCCACTTCACTGCTTACTCCCATCTCCAAATCATTAATGAACAAGTTAAAAAGCAGTGGACCAAGTACTGATCCCTGCGGTACCCCACTGCTTACCCCCCTCCACTGGGAGAACTGCCCATTTATACTCACTCTCTGTTTTCTATTAATTAGCCAGTTTTTGATCCATAAAAGGACTTGTCCTTTTATCCCATGATTTTTGAGCTTACTTAGGAGCCTTTGATGAGGAACTTTTATATACCACCCGTAGCCGAAGCTCTCTGGGTGCTTTACAACAAACTAAGCTTGGGAGTGGAGCCGTAGCCTGTGGAACTGCTGTCGCATGGGGGTGTGTGTGTGTCACGTGCTCTTGATGGCTGTGGCCCCAACGCGGAGTCTAGCGGCAGCTTTCAAACACTCTTCAAGGGTAGCCCCAAGTAGAGCATATTGCAGTAGTCCAGTCTAGGTGTCGCTAAGGTGTGGATCACTGTGGCTGGATCTGACTGACCCAGGGATGGAGGCAGCTGAGGCACCAGCGGAAGCTGGACAAAAGCACTCTGGACCAGCGCAGCCACCTGACCACTGTGTCAAGCAGCATTGCCGAGCTGCGAGCCTGGCTTGGTCTGCCTTTGTGCTAATCCAGGGAATGGAGGGTGTCTCTTGAGCATCTGGGCCGGAGGGCAGGTTTGGGAACAGGGGCTCCCTCTCTCCACCCCCGTGATCCACCCCGGAGGAGCCTGACATTTTTTCTTGCGTAAGCCTGAATGTGTGAACCTTTGCGTGACTGTTCGTCTGGAGGACTGGAGGGTGATTTCCCCCACCTCTGCTGCGTTACGGTGGCGACAGGTACCCCTGGGCCTGTGGTTCCCCCCGCAGGTGGTGCCTTTGAGTTCACCCCTTTCCTCCCTCCCTTCCCGGGGGTGGGGGGGAGGAGTCTGACGGTGTTGCCCTAAAAGGGGCACCGAAAAGCCGGGAGCCTTGGCTGCCTCTCAGTCCTGCTCTGCTTCCTCCTGACTCCTTTCCCCCACGCTCCTCTTTGACGCGAGGCTACACAGTCCTCTCAGCCCTGCACAAGTCCCTAATGGCAGCCGTAAGAACGTCATGCGGGTCACTGCCAGGCAGAGACCTCACCTGGGGGGGTGCTTCTGTGCCTCTTGGCCCATGCTGGGGGGAGGGGGGGGACGGGGACGGGAGCACGGGACTGAAGGGGCTGTGGTGGTGTCGCTGTGTGTTCCTCCAGGGGACCCCACGAAACCTGGTTTACTGGAACCACCTTCCGCCCCACCGTTGAGTCGCTGCATCTCTATGCCCGTCGACATTTCAGGTACGGCTCCCTCTTTGCATCTCCGCCCTTCCCGAGGGAGGGAGCGCCCGTGGCCTTGGGCGCTTTGGTGACCCTCGGGCAGCTGTCGTTTTCTTTTCCGCTCAGGGATCCAGAGGGCCCCTCGCTCTGACTTCGACATGGCCTACGAGCGCGGCCGCATCTCCGTGTCCCTCCAGGAGGACAGCACTGCCTCGCTAGCCAGCTTTGCCCGAGTAGGTGTCTGCTGTCTTGGGTCCTCTCCTGCTGCACCTGCAAGGGTGGCCTTGCTCACCTGGGGCTTCAGTGGGCCCTGCGCCTGCTGGACGTTTGTCTGTGGCTGTATTTGGGGGGGGGATGATAGGAAAGGTGCCTCGAGCGGACGGAAGCAGTTGCCATGCCGTTGCCACGTGCCTCCCGTGGTGGAAGTCTTCTCTGCCGCTCGCCATGTGTCCCTCCTCCTGCCTTCGGTGAGCTGACCCAGGCCTCTCCTCCTCCTCCTCCTCCTTGGCAGTCAGTCTCCCACGAGCCCCGGGAACGGAAGACGGTGACGGTCGAGGAGCAGCCCTCTGGGGTCTACCACTACAATTACTGTGAGGATGGCTCAGCCGGTGGCGACTGCCTCTTCGGGCCCTACCAGGGCCGCCAGACCAGCGCCATCTTCGAGGCGGCCAAGCGGGAGCTGGTCAAACTGATGAAGATCGAGGTAGGGACCCCCCTCCTGTGCTCCTCTGGGTGGGATTCCCGCCTGCAGCCAGGCCCCTCCCCCCCTCTCTCTGGCGCAGTGACGTTGGCGCTGGCCCTTCCCGTGTGGCCGGTTCAGGACAGGAGGAAGGGGAGCCAGGCCCCCGGGACACTCACAGCACTGCAGGGGCCGCTTGGGCCACACGGCGGGCCTCTCCTCCAGAGAGCAGGGAAGACTCAAGGCCAGAGTTTTTTAGAAGCGTCACAGTGAATTTTTCTTTACATAACACTAAGTTTCTTTTTAAAATAACCTGGTGTAAAATGACATCTGAGCCTGTAATATCTCAGAGCTGCATTTCTGACCCGTTGGTGCGAGGCTGTCTTGCGTTGTTGCTTCTTTTACGTCAGAGCACGGAAAGGACAGTGGGGGAGGACCTCTTCCTCCGCCATCAGGGTCATCCTCCCCAACCACTTTGTGGCAGGACGCCCTGGTCCCTTCAGGTGGCTCCGGGCAGAACGTCCAGAGACCGGTGTTTCCTTTCTCTTCTCCTTGATCGGACGGAACTGTGAGGGTGCCTGGAAAGGGGGGTTGGGCAGGGGCCCCCCCCCCGCGGCCTTTCCGGTTCATCTGAGGGGGGGGCGCTTGGCCCAGGCAGCCCTGCTGCTCTCTGAGCCCCCCCCCCGGGGGCTGCCTGGAAAGGAGCGGAGCAGGCGGCTGGCTGCTTGCCTGAGGAGGGCTGCCACCGCAGCAGCAGCGCACAGAGGGCGGTCGCTTGGGCAGCCCATGCCGGGCAGCCAGAAGACGGGCCCACGGCACTTTGTTGTGGGTCACATTTAAGACTCAGAACACTGTGGCTCTGTGTAGGCTGAGATACTCTTGTAACAGTCAGTCAGCACGCACTTTTATTAAGGCGCTATCTGAATGAAGCATGGGAAGGTGCGACGCCGACCAGCTTTTTCCAGCCCAGATGTGACCCGCGGCCGTCCGCCCGCTCTCCCCACAGGACTCCTCCTTGCTGAACCACCGGGTTTTGCTGCATCACGCCAAGGCCGGGACGGTGATTGCCCGCCAAGGGGACCAGGTAAGAACAGGGTGGATGGCGGACGGCAGCCTGCCCGAAACGGGAGGGCGTGGCAACGGCAGGCAGGCAGGCGGCTTCAGGGTTTTTGGTTTGCTTTTTTTTACAAAAACATGCTTTGTGATGAGAAGGCCGGGGAGAGAGACGGGTCAGTCTGTGGCAGCAAAATCAAGCAGAAGTCCAGTGTGGCACCTCCAAAGACTAACGGCATTTATTTGTTGTACGCAGTAGAACGGTGAGAGTGAGGATGTTGCCATCGGTTTAGCTGCAGAGTGCGAGGGGGACAGACCAGATGACCGGCAAGGTCCCCTCCGGCTCCCACACTCTGTGATTCTATCATCAAGACATTCAGCACTGCCTCTCTCCCTCGAGTCTGAATAAGGACCAGGTTTCCCCCACTCATGATAGTTGCTAATAGCTCAGCATGACTCACCCTTCATAGATACTAATTAGTTCAGCTGTATCCTTATGAAGTCTCTGTCCTGTTCTGATTGGAACAGTTTAATGTGTTTCACGTGGCAGCTTCCCCGATTAGATCTGATTTCATGTCAATCCTCCTGTGCCCGTCTGTCTCCTGTTGGGAGGGGTTTCTCTTTAACTCTAGGCCCTGTTTCAGACTGGTCTCTCTCAATATTTAATGTCTCTTTGAGGCTCAAGGTGGATTGCGTAGCCTAGGAGCAACGCAGTAAAGACCAGTAGAACACATACATACAGTGAGTCCAATGCAGTAAGATGGGGTTCTGCAATTCAAGGACAATGGACTAAAACCGTATAATAAATCCCATGAACTGGATTTCACAGGTAGAGAACGGTGATCCAATAAGCTTCAGTTCACATTAAGGAGAAAATGAGGTAAAGACGGTGGCTTGGATTCATCAGGCCCCAAACGGAAACTGTGTTAGCCCAGTTCTGCTTAGGCAACAACCTGTGGAAGACCTAGCTGTTTCCTGCCTGTCTCTTTTTAAAAAACATTACTTCAAAAGCTTAATCGCAAGTAATATGTAGCAAATATACCGAGTCCGTCATGTAAGAAGAGCCCTGCTGGCCCATGAAGTCCAGCGTTCTGTTCACACAGCGGCTGACCACCTCTGCCCCTCTAGGGAGCCCACACGCAGGAGGAGCATCCTCACCCCCCACCCCCACCCCGGTGCTCCCCAGCGGCTGACTTTAAAGAGGTGTCTCCTGCCTCTGGTCACTGGAGGGAGCCGAGGTGCCCATCACGGCTAGGAGCCTCGAGCAGCTCCACCCTCCGTGGATTTGCCCGCTCCCCCCCCCTTTTTTTTAAGTCTTCCAGGTTGAGGCCCATCCTCACATCCTGTGGCAGCGAGTTCCACAGCCTGCACTGTGCCCTGTGTGGAGAAGTACCTCCTTTTCTCTGTCCTGAATCTCCTGCCCTTCGGCACCCGTGGGAGACTGGGTGGTCCCTGGGACCCCCCCCACCTGCGAGGGGGGCCTATCCCTTCAAACAGTCACAAGGACATTAGAGCCTTTGACTGAGCGAGAGCCCCGCCTTGACCGCTCAGCCACACCGCTGCTGGAGAGCTGAGTGCTCCCTCACAACACTCGGGGGGGGGGAGTTGACAGGGGAAGAGGCCTCCGTCTCTGTGGCAGCACTGACCCCCGCGGGGGGCCCAGCTCTGTTTTTGAGTCCTCTTTCCCCAGGACTCTGAAGCTCCCCCGGGAGTCTTTGGTGAGGAACCTTGTTAAAGGCCTGTTTAGAAGTCCAGATATTTAGTGTCTACTGGGTCACCCTTATCCACATTTGTGAACTTACTCAAAGATCTCAAAAATTTTGGTGGAGCAGGATGTCCCTTTGTAGGAGAATTTCCCAGCAAACAATAGAAAAATCATTTTAAAAAAAATGGGAGGAATGAACAATAATACCATAATGAAGTCAGTAACCAAGGATGTTCTTTAGAGTACCTGTGACATGAAACTTCAAAGCAAGTGCAGTGTCTCTGTAACTCCTGTCTAAAACAGATGAAGGCATTCCCCGGAGCCTTGGCAATGGTAGAAGACAAGACAGATATTGGCCACATATGCAAAAGCAAAGAGCTGCCTTCGTGATGCGGATATTTACTTTGCCAGTGGGGGTAAATCTGGGTGGATTGAGATAGCCCCTGACTCACCTTAAATTCAATTCCGGCAGTTATAAACTTTGGATCAGAAATAAATTGGGGAAAGATTGTAACAGGAAACAGTCTTATCTAGTCAGGGGATCCATTTTGTTCTTTAAAGCAAAGTTTGGGAAATCCCTGTTTAACACATTTATTTTTATTTCTGTTATTTACCAAATTGGCCTCCTGTCTTTCTGCCCGCCTCAGGGCCACCAAGGTGACCCGCTTGCTTGTCAGGTGGCACAGAGGGGAGGGGCTGTTCGCCAGAGGCCCACGTGGAGGTCACAGGCAGCCTCATGCAGGGAGGGGCCGCCCTTCGGCTGTCTGGGCCCCCAGACCACAAAGGGCGTCACCGTTTAGAACCAGCACCTTAAACTGAATCGAGAAACAAGCGGGCAGCCGGTGCGATTGTTCCAGAATCCAAGAGTTACCTGGTGGAGACATCTGGCTCTCAGCAGGAGGCTTATCTGCTGCACTCTGCACTGCTTGAAGCTTCTGCGCTTGCTGTCTGAGTCCAGTCCCCTGTTGCAAGAGCTTCGTGCTCCGGAGGGAGGCTATCCGCTGCAGATCCACCGGCTCCCTGCTCGGCCCTCACGGTGCCGCTGCCTCCACTGCCCCCCCCCCACGGCCTGTCCTTGAGCCTCTTCCCTGGATGGGCCCCCTGAAGTCCCCCCTCTCTCTGCTTCCTTCCCTTCGCGCCGGCCCCTCCCGGCAGGACGTCAGCCTGCACTTTGTGCTGTGGGGCTGCCTGCACATCTACCAGCGGATGATCGACAAGGCTGAAGACGTGTGCCTCTTCCTGACCCAGCCGGGGGAGATGGTGGGCCAGCTGGCCGTGCTCACGGGGGAGCCGCTGATCTTCACCATCAAGGCTAACCGAGACTGCACTTTCCTCAAGATCTCCAAGTCCGACTTCTACGAGTGGGTAACAACACGCCTGCGGCGGCCGTTTCGTGCCCTCCCTCTGCCCCGCCTCCACTGACGGCGCCATCCTCCCGTGCTGCTCTTGGCAGGGGCCCGGGTCCTGGCCTGTCCCCTCAGTCCTGCCCTCCCGTGCAGAGGCTCCCTCGGGGGGCCTGTTTCGAGCCCTGCCCACGCAGAACAGCACTGCAGAAGGGAAGGAAGGACGGGGATGCAAGTCAGGGCTCCCCGGGTGCTAGCTAGCGAGAGAGTCCCACTCTCGTCTTTCCTCTCTCCTCTACCTTGCCAGCGAAGGCAGGGGGGAGACGACCAGAAGCCGGATCCCGTTCTGAGCGGCATGCTGGGTAATGTGGGCCTCAGGAAGCAGGAGAGGAGGAGGAGGAGGAGTTCCTTGAAGGGATCTCCTCCTCTCCTCAGCAGAAGGAGCTGAATGACCCATGCCGTGGCGACACACGTGGGGGGGGGCCCAGCTGCAGTGGGTGGCACAGTCGGTGCTGACCAGCGTCTCCTCCTCTGTCCCTGTCCCCAGGCCAGCTTATTGCAGGCGGACTCTAGTCTGGGAGAACCGGGTTTGATTCCCCACTCCTCCTCCACTCACAGCTGCCGGCATGACCTTGGGCAAGCCGTAGTTCTGATAATGAGCTGTCCTTGAAAAAGGGCAGTTTCTGTCAGAGCTCTCTCAGCCCCACCTACCTCACAGGGTGTCTGTTGTGGGGAGGGGAAGGGAAAGGAGTTTGTAAGCCGCTCTGAGACACCTCCTTCGGGTAGTGAAGGGCCATGGGGTACAAATCCAGTCTCCTCTTTTCTCTACGCTGCCACCAAACCACCTTGTGCTCTGCTGCTAACTTAACTCTGCCTCTTCCAGCATCATGCGTGAGCAGCCCAGCGTGGTCTTGAGTGTCGCTCACACTGTTGCCGCCCGCATGTCTCCCTTTGTGCGCCAGATGGACTTTGCCATTGACTGGATGGCCGTGGAAGCCGGACGGGCCCTCTACAGGTGAGAGAGAGAGCTGGGCTTTCAGCCCCTTTCCCGCCTCACGCCCGGGTTCCCTAGGTCCCTGGCCGGAGGGTGGGGCTTGGAGATGGTCCTCCACGTGGGGATCCGGGGCCCTTCCTGTTGCTTCGTTCACTGGTCTCTGTTGGACTTGGGAGTAGGGGGCTAGAGGCACAGACCCTCCGGGACAGAACCCCCAAAGTCGGGGGGGGGGCCTTAAGAGGACCCCGGGAGCTGATGATCTCCCCTCCACACGCGCCCACACACACACACGCACGTGGTGCCATGCCGTGACGCACGTGGGGGGGCCCAGCTGCAGTGGGTGGCACAGTCGGTGCTGACCAGCACCTCCTCCTCTGCCCCGTCCCCAGGCAAGGCGACAAGTCGGACTGCACCTACATTGTGCTGAACGGGCGCCTGCGCTCGGTGATCCAGAAGGGCAACGGCAAGAAGGAGCTGGTGGGGGAGTACGGGCGCGGGGACCTCATTGGCGTGGTGAGTGCCGGCAAGGGAAACCTCGCGCGTGCCCGGGGGGGGACCGCTGGCAGCTGCTTGCGGGGCCTCAGCTTCTGGTGTCTCACTGGCTTCATTTGCACTCCAGCTGTCTCGCTGAGTTTCAGGGTGGCTCTTTGTGTAAATACCGAGGGATTTTGCATCCAGCTGGTGGGGTTTGCTGTAAATGAGCTGGGGGGCCAACATGTGCTTTCACATTAAACCCCCTCGCCCCACTACCAGCATCACATTTGGATCAGTATCAGCTAAGAGACTAGCTACAAGTTCCTGATTAGTAGCAGGGCTCCATTTTTGAATGTACACTGAGATCCATCTGTCGTGAGCCTTATTGTATTTTCTACAATCAATGAAAAAGTGCCAAATTGTGTCCAAATCGCCTGAATTACAATTGCAAAGTCGTTCTGAAAATGGAGTCCCTAGAAATCTACCCGTTAGTTCCCCAAGGGCAAAGCATTTAATCTTGCCTTGGAAAACAATATTCTATATTTGGGGACCGTCAAAGATTTATAATAAGAGGGCAAAGATTCCAGGATTGGAAGACCTAAATAATACAAAGAACAGACCCTTCGAGCTCGGCAACTTGAACTCCATTTGTCCAAGTGTACATAAGAACATAAGAGAAGCCAATGTTGGATCAAGCCAATGGCCCATCCAGTCCACCACTCTGTCACACAGTGGCCAGAAATACCAGGTGCCATCAGGAGGTCCAGCAGTGGGGCCAGGACACTAGAAGCCCTCCCACTGTTGCTGCCCCCCCCAAGCACCAAGAATACAGAGCATCACTTGCCCCAGAGTCCCTATCTATACTTTGTAGGTAATAGCCACCGATGGACCTCTGCTCCATATGCTTATCTAATTCCCTCTTGAAGCCGTCCATGCTTATAGCCTTCCCCCAGGCCGGAGAATTGAGGCACCTCTTCGTTCTGATGGTTCTCCGTTTTGTGAGACCGACTGAGTGACGCTGATCGGGGCAAGCGTGGGAGATCCAGCGGCAGAAATGAAAGTTGAAAGCGAGGTCGAATTACCAATTATGAATGTGAGTCAGCTTTAAAGCGTTTTTCAAAGGGAAAAAGATAGCTCCCCACCCCACCTCACTGAATGGGAAAAAGGCGAGCAGGGGAGGGACGCCTCCCATGCGCATGAATTTTTGAGTGATTGAGGGGGGGGGAGCGGAAGAAAACGCGAAGGAAACTGCCTAGAAGTACTTACCAAAGTGAATCTAAGCGGTCAAGCGCACATTCAGAGACTTTAAAAAAAATTGCAAAAGTAAACAAGCGAAAAAGATGGCCGGGAAGAAGGACAGAGAAAAACTTTTGAAAGGGTCTGAGAGCCCGAAACCAGAAGCTACCAGCGAGGTGGCAAAGTCTATAGCGGAATATATGCACCCTCTGCTGGAGCAGCTGAATAACTTCAAGTAACAGATGTCTATAGTGACTCAAAATATTACTGCACAACAAACCCAGATAAACGATATGATACAAATAATGAAGCAAGATACTGAGAAGTTAAAGGAAATGGCTGCAACTACTCAGAAGGTGAAGAAAAAAGTGCAAAAACTGGAAAGGAAACAAATCTCCATGGAAGATCAACTGCTGCAAATGGAAAAGGCCAACATGATTCTTCGCTTCCAGGGCATGTCAGAGAACAGGGGGGAGAATCTTAAAGAAGTGATGACGGAATTACTAGCCCCAGTGACAGAAATGAAGGTGGAATCGCTGCTGAGCGAGATGGATGTGGTTTACACATCATATTCAGGCTATATAAAGAAAAATAATCTGCCTGGGGAAATTGTCGTAAGATTCTCGAAGAGGCATGTGAGGGATGCAATCCTGAAAGCGGTTCCTGGAATACCCCTGAAAGTGGGGGGAAATACCATCAGAACAGCTTTCATGAGTCACTGCTCACTTCTTCAGATACAGGTAGAATGTGACTCCATCTGTCCTATATATTGGAAAGTGGAGTGATTTCAGATGCCAAATGACATTAACAGGCAAATGACAATAGCAGGTGTGATTGCATTAGGTGTGATATACAGAGAGGTAGTAGGCGTGGAGAAATCAACATTGATAATGAGACAGGAAATCTAGGTCTCGATTCAGTCCAGGAGGATGCATTGTCTTGAGCTTTGTTATTAGTTGCAATTCAGGAGTCTCTCTTTCCAATCTCCCTTTGAAATTCCTTTGTAAGATAACTGCTACTTCTAGGTCAGCAGCTGAATGTCCTGGAAGGTTAAAACGTTCCCCCACTAATTTTTGAATGTTGTGGTTTCTGATATCAGACTTATGCCCATTATTTTTTTTGTTCAAGAGACTGGCCTGTTTGTCCAGTGTAGAGGGTGGAAGGGCATTGCTGACATGTGATGGCATAAATCACATTAGAGGATGAGCAGGAGAATTTGAGATGGTAAGGCTGATATTGCTGGGTGCACTGACGGTGTTGCTAGGATGTATGTGAGAGCAAAGTTGGCATCTTGGTTTGTTGCAGGCCTTGGTACCAGAGTCCATGTTACTGCTAAATAGTTTATCATTGTGGGTGAGAAGTTGTTTTGGGTTAGAAGGCTGTCTGTAAGCAAGAAAAGGTCGGTCCCTTCCAGTGCCTGTGTGAGGGAAGTGTCACTATCCAGCATGGTTTGTAGGTCATTAATAATGTGTTGAACTGGCTTGAGTTGTGAGCTGTAGGTGACCACCAGTGGTGTTCTCTCAAGCCCTTTAGCATAGGGCTTGGCTATACACAATGGATTGTTTGAGGTGGTTCAGGTGGTAGCTGGAGGCATGTAGGTATGCTTGCCAATCTGTCAGTTTCTGGTATAATGTGGTACTTATGTGTCCCCCATTTATCCCTACTGTGATGTCCAGGAAGTTTATTTCTTGTATAGAGTAATTCACAGTTGGTGGGTGGAAGTTGTGGAAAACCTGGTGAAATTCCTCAAGGGCTTCTTTGCCATGGGTTCAGACAATAAAAATGTCGTCAATGAATCTGAAGTAAAGGAGAGGGGCCAGTGGGTAGGAGTTCAGAAAACGGTGTTCTAGATCTGCCATGAAAATGTAGGCATACTGTAGAGCCGTGCAAGTGCATGACTGTGTCATCGATTTGGAGGTATAAGTTCTCATTCAACTTGAAGTTCATTGTGTATAGTCAAGGCCTACGCTATAGTCACATCTGCTCTGGCCCCTCAGACAGAGATACTCACTTGAAGGATCTGCAACAGGCTTTTGATCGGAAAAGCCAGAATGATACCCAGGGACAGCTTGCTACAAGAAAAGCCCAAAGAAAATGATGACAGAACACCACTGGTGGTCACCTACAGCTTATAACTCAACACATTATTAATGACCTACAACCCATGCTTGATAGTGACACTTCCCTCACACAGACACATGGAGCAAAGCATCTCTTACCCTTTATTACATTTTTGTCTGTTCAGTTGTGTGCCAGAGCTAGGTGGACAGGGCTGCTCACTCATATTGCTCTTTAGAAGCCATATAATGTACAGTTTCATCAATCTCTTCATCCCCTCTAGAGCAGGGGTGTCAAACTCATTTGTTATGGAGGGCCGGATTTGACATATATTGGACTTGGTTGGGCCAGGCCATGTGTGTCATAAAAACTTGATAACAAGATAGAAACTTGATAAAGGACACTAACACAAAGAGACATGCTGAAAACATTAGCATTCTTGCAATATTCTGTTTATTTAACAGTCTCTGATAAGTGACACTTCTTGATCTGAATTATTGCATCAAAATGTCTGGGCTTTAGCAATCTGGGAGGGGGAGGGGGAGGGGGAGGAGCCTCAGCCCAGTGCAGGGACCAGACGTTTGCCTATCTATCTCTCCTGAGTGATTGAGAGAGTCTGGGAAAGCAAGCTATGATGCAGCAGCAGCAGAAGAACTGGAGGAAGAAGCAGGAGACAGCCAGTACCTTGTGGGCCAGATAGATGTCCTCTGGGGGCCTGATCTGGCCCCTGGGCCACATGTTTGACACCCCTGCTCTAGAGTATATCCTCTGGAGTTAATATATATTTGTGTAACATTTTGTATGATTGGATCTGTGCATTACTTCAAGTCACCTGGTACTGCCCTCTGCACTTGTGTTGGGATTTCACCTCTTGGTTTTTTCAAAACCTGTAAAAGACTATGCTGGGCAACATTTCTCTATTCAATCTCTGAGAGTTTATCAAAGGCATTTCTAGAAAGGAAAATGGAAATGAATATTGCATTATTGCCAAAAGGCTTCTTGTTTTCCAGAATGAAGCAATATGGTAACTGTTGCTGATCTGGAAGCACAGTATATAGTATCTCAAGCAGATGACTGAAAGGTTCTTTGTTACTTCTCTTGACTTAATTATCTTGGGTTCATTGTAGATCATTCCATGGCAAACATTTTTGTGTGTTTGGCCTACAGACATCTCTGACTGAATAATCAATAAAATCTTTCCCCCCTCTTGATCTAGTCAAGCATAGGAGTGAAATTATTGAGTGGGAGACAAGGGTCACCTTCTCCAATATTTTAAGATAAATGGTGATTCTTTTACATTGTTCACTCAAGAATAAAAGACAGCTCAAGGTCTGCTAGAGTCCCTATTTCCAGAAATCCCTTATCTGACAAATATTTATTTAGCATAATCTCTGTGTATGTTTGGACTTCCATCTTCAATAGACTAAATACTTCTAAGATATTTCATCTTCTGTTAATGAAATGCCTGCTGGTAAATAAGAAAAAAAATCAAAGTTGTTACCACAGTTTAGTTTTGTTCCCAAAGCATGTTACTTCTTCCCTACTTCTAGCAGTTAGGAAGATATTTGGGTGGTATATAAATCTTTGAAGCCAGTTGCTGTCTTTCCAGAGACCTGCTTGATTATTGATTACTATTTACAAGAGATATGGGGAATACCTTTTAGTCTTGGTGTATCATGTTAGCATTATTAATATTTTATAGAAAGTGGAAAGAGACATTTAAAATTTGAAGAAACATTTAGTTA